CACAAGCTTCTATCGATGTCTCTAGCCTGAAAGGACCGCAAGAACCAATGAATATATGTAACGGATTCTTTGTGGGCTGATTGCCACAGTGGGTAATGCAGCTATAAGGCTGGTGGTATACGAAATATTCGCTGGTTTCACTTTCAAAATTTGAAACCAGTGCACAAAAACTAAGCCGATTCCGGATGAAACGTGGCCTAAAAGTACGGAATACCTATCTCCATGGTATATATGTTCCACAAGTTTCCAACTGCGCCACGTTTAGAATTCCAAGCGATAAATGCTCAGTATATCTGTATGATGAGTGAAAAAGAAATCTGATTGACAGCATTACTACAATCGACCAGGGGGCGTATTTTTTCAAAAACATACCTCACTCCTACTAAAAATCATGGCCACAGTCTATTTTATGCGTATAAGGCAGACGGGTTTGGTAACCACCTCGATATCTCGGTGACGAAGTACTAGTAATCAGCTCTTGGAAGAGAAATGCGACACTCTATCTGTGCTTCTTACCCTTGGGAGGTGTATCTTCTGAGCCGAATGAACAAGGAAATGACGCTTGGGTCAAAGGAAATTTAGGGATGTATCTACCACATGTTTACGTTATTTCAATTGTCCAGACAACATCCCTCCTCTTGGTTTGCTGTTAGGCTATCATTGGTACATTGGTTGTGCCACGCTATCTTACGATTGACCACAATTTATTCGTATTGAACCTAAATCTATCCATCAGAATAGTATATTTGCTTGTCAGTGAAAGAAGTTCCCCGATCCCATCACTACCGTCAACTTCCAGTTGAGTGTTTGTTTTCACTTTTCTGATAGAGAGTGCCGAAACCATTGGTACTCGTACTCGAGACATGGTGGTTGCTGGTAAACATATGTACTTTGTGATAAGCGTTACCGGTGGTTTCATGCTAAACTGTCAACGAATCTCTGTGTCCTGATTTCGAGAACGAATTCGATTTTCTGTGCATGGTGGGTACATTCAATCACAAAACCAGCTATAACGTTCAATCCTGAAAGCAAGCAGAACAAATCGACTGTCAGCGTCGCGAGTGGATTATACCAAACATGGCGGTCTCTTGAATTTAAAATTACTTATGACAGCAACTGTTCGATGTGAAAGCTTTTTACCGCGGGGCTCGTGAGCAAAGTTTTTATTAGTTCCGAACGTTATCCACTGCTAGTCCGCGGTTATACGAAGGTCTACCGGAAGGTCACTTTCGAGTTGGCCACTTTTATTTTGGTGATGCGACTCAGTTTATTTCCTCTCCAGTGCTCCCAACCATTTCGGTGGAACTTAAGTGGTTTTCCGAAGATTCTCTTGAATCAGTGTGCATGCGTGGTTAAATTCGTCGTCTGAACTGAAAATTCTGATCAGGTGGGATGCTGCGCGTCAATTTCAAGCTCAGGTTTTGATTGGCTTGTCGAAGCTGGCAATTTGGTTGCCAATGTCTCGTCACGAACTGGCGTCAGCTCGGTTGATAAAGAAACGTCTGCAACCAAAGCGCTCAGTAAAGCGGGCTAAGCAACACCCCAACTGTCATCCTGATCTACTGATATTCCACATTACCTACTTCAAGCACACATGAAAAAGTTATGCCTGTCGTCCAATGCGCTTGCTAACGGTGAGCGGTATAACGGAATCCCAGAAGTTCACCAACAGTCAACAAGCTAGACATCAGTGTACGATCACTGGTGGTGGTGCTCGCTTACCTAATCAGGTGACGCATCACTCACGATCACGGAGTTGTATATGTCAGGTTGGTTACCCGAAGCGATGCGGAGGTCATGGAAGCGCAAATGCACATGACTAGGGTAGCTGATGAGGTATGCAAATCACACTGTTCCAGTAAGTGGGGAATACGCACGGACAGAAGCGGGTTAGCACTTGCGTCAACTATGTGATTTGGCATGCGCTGACATCGGTCGGTTGTAGGAGAAAAGTTTGCCTGTAAGATGCGATGCATTTCCACTAAATCATACTGTACTGCCGCGAAATGTTTGCTGTAATGCGGAGGACTGGAAAGTCTTTAGAAAAAGTGAGGACCAAAACAAGCACAGGCGTCATGCATGAGATCAGACGGTGCAACGCAAGCCTCACAGAAGAGCAGAGAGGGGATCACTAGCGACGAATGGTAACGGGCCTGAACCAAGGAGGACAAAGCGAATATTTGTCGAAAGGCCAATAAATCTGGCCGAAAAGCCGTTGTTGGTGCATCCAGGAGTAACTCCAAGTCGAATAACACAACTGCGATCAAGTAAATTAAGAGCTTTGGGACAACTGGGATGAACAGAATGCAAATTACGGAAGCGAAGGTACGGAGTCAGAGAGGCTTCCTAACCGCACAAAGTTGGGAGAACTGGAGCACGAATGTGACGTGTAGTAATTCTCCATGTAGGTTGCGTAGTGGGATTGAAACATAACCGATGTATTTGCGCGTGCGTAGCAGATTAATTAACCGTGGTAGCGTGCAATAAATATTGCGCTTTATTACCCCTTCGTTTTTCTGTAATAAGCCGAAAGGATAGGGACGATTTGGCTCCCTTACACAGTTGCAGATGAATTTTCACTTGTCGCATACCACGGAAGGTGTCATGCCTAGGTGAGTTTATTCTCATATGACGCAGCAACTGTGCTGTATTGGATCCCTAATGCACATACAGGTGATGCCTCTTTAACTGATTCCAGCCAGCTCTAGCTGCGGTTGTGTTCACTTTACAAAGCAATATTGTTGTATTGATTAGACGAGACACTTACTCATCTGGCAATCACACAAAATCATAAATGAGTTGATCTCTTTACCGATCCAGCTATATCTGTCGCTTGTGGTGGTCCACTGGTCAATGAAGTTGCCGTATGCTTTGGTAAAGCTCTTACATATTTTATCCTGTATACCCTACAGAAGTTGTGAGAAATTAGCCTACGGAGTAGGGTGCACGATGCCGAGCAACTACCACTGATACTGTACGGTCCCGTAATTGACCACTGAGCACTGAGTTTGTTCGGAAATTTGTTTCGTTTTTGTATCAAAATGCAGGACGACTTTCTTAGAGTGAACACATTTTATTGAATTGCATATTATCCATTCTGGTCCAATACGTTTGTCAGGTTTCTGGCAGTAGCACTACTCCACGCTAATAAAACGTGTGTACTGTGCTGGCAAAATACTTATCCAAGTGATTTTTGACCTCATTTGAAGTAATTTCACTGCCTAAATATTTGGTAGTGACGGGAACAAATAATAATCAGAAGGCGTCAGAGCTGGAGAATATAGTGGGTGTGGCAGTGTATCCCTTCCAAGCTGTAAATGCTTTTGGCGAGTTACCCAACTTGTATGAGGTGTCACATTATGTTGTTGGTACAGTACACCACTTCTAATGATTAATTCTGGCCTGCTTAAGGGAATCACTCAATTTGTGCATTTGATGACAGTACACCGCAGAACTGCTCGTTGTTTTGTCCGGTAGTATCTCAACATAAAGATTCCTTTGAAATTCCACCAAACAAATAACAACTTTTTTGATAACAATTGGCTTTCGAAGTGGTTTGAACCGGTTCATCATTTTTACGCACTGATCACTTGCATTTTACATTACAGTAGACAACACATTCCTCGTCTCCAATAATGATGCGCTTCAAAAATGCATCAATTTTGTGACGTTTGAGAAGCAAAAGACAGACGTCATCGCGACGGCACAAATTTCTTTCCATAAGTACTTGAGGAACTCACATAACGAGCTTTGAGATGAGACATAGTTTCTTCAAACTATCATAAACGGTAGATTACGACGAAGTTAATCTTGCAATGATCTCCCCAGTTTTGTGCCGTTTTGCATCAACTAATGCAACTTAATTAATTAACTCAATTAATTAATTAATCTTGGATCGAAATTTAGTAAACCAATTCGGGCACTGTCGTTCTGTCAACCTACCTCCATACATGTGCGACAATGTTTTTCTTGCTTGAACAGCACTTTTAACTTTCGATATTTAAAAAATAAAATATGCCCAAAATGCTGCCTTTCACTTTCCAAATTTAAAAGGACACCAAGCAAAATCTACTGCGTAAAATCAATCGAACCGTTTCACAAGCAAACCTTGCTGAATCACCAGTCAAAAGATTTAACGATCATGTGGATTTTGTGGGAACTTGGTTGTGAAAAAAATGATGATAAAATAAAAGGAAAATACGAAATAACGCTGAACTACCTAATAGCTGATGATACGTGATCACCTCTACCGGCAGTTTTGCATCTATCTTATGGGAACAGTGCACCAACCATGCTACTACTACATGTTGCTGACAGATCGGTAGCCCACACCAGAGTCTGCTCAGCTAGAATTGCCTACGACATTTGAACCCGTTTCGGTATATATATTGACTTTCTCCTGTGTGTTTTGCCTACTCCGCGCCTGCTGTGAGAAACCCCTTTAATGTAACACAACAATGGAGTCGTAACGTACAGAGGAGTTAAAGCGAAAATGGGGCCGGACTGATGGATGTTTTCGCAGTGATGTTTACTTTGGGATCATTCAGCTCATTTTCAGTAGACCGTCTGTAGATGCGAAGAAAAAAGCAAGCAAAAATAACGTTCGTCCTTGTGCCTCCCATTATTGGTTTTTATATGACGAGTTGACTTTCATCAAGTTTCCTTTGTGTTAAACAAGTCGTTTCACCTTTGTGATTTGTTATTCTCCAACGTTACTTATTTTAGGCAAAATGACTGATTGCACCGGCTGGTTGGTTGCAGTTAATAGGATTACATCCCTTCGTCAGTCTTTCATAAGAAATTTCCATCTAATAAATTCACTTTTTGCTTCACGCTGCAAAAAATAATGTGGTCCTAGATCACCATAGCATGCACGGAAAACTGGGTACTCCGGTATTTCAGAAACGTTAAATCCTAATTGCCTTCATTCTTACTGCTTCCTTAACTTTGATCTTTAAAGAGTATCTCCTCTTGTGCATGAGGTATTCTTCCTTCCGCAGGTTTCAGCAAGTTTGCCAAGCTTGCCCGCACCGTCACGCGAAGCAGAGCCATGCTAACTTCTCCTGGAGAAATCGAGGATTCTTTCGCAGCGGTAAGCATGCACTGGAATTGGAGACAAACATGATGTCAGATGTAGAGAAATCAGCTATGATTGTTTGCATTGGGCTGCATCTCTGATGGTTACTATTCTTCCAGTCTAATATCGTTATTTCAACCTCCTGATGACATTTGTCGGAAATGCATGACACCTAAATCCGGCTCAACTGGTTTCGCACATAAAAATTTGAGGGCATTATTTTGTGTCCTCGCTTCTCTCGCAAAATTGCCTTCAGCTTGTTGGATACTAAAGGCATCGGGACTGCGTATATTAAACTCACTTTAAGCCAAACATTTTCTTACGATTGTCTGGCTTGGTTTATCAAGTTTCGGTGCCTAACAAAGACTTACTGCTCTGGCTTTACATCATTCGCTTTGCAAGTCAGATAAGAGTAGGTTATCTCTATCCAAAACGCTTGTTTTCCATACAAGCACCACTAAAACCGGAAGATGAAAGTAGTTTCAATGTTAGACAAAATCTGCAATGGAATGGGCTTTCCTCATCCGGAAAATGGGTGTGGCTCAGTCGGTTTCATCCAGCGCGAAAATCTTTTCCATTTTTTCGGGTATTCCATCTTACTACCACCTACACACTTCTTCTTTGTGCTAGACTCAAAAAGCGGATGTCCCCGACCTCGTTGTCAACGGAGATGACGCTGGTAAGGGAATCACAATCTTTATGAGGTTGCTTTGCAGATTTCGTCCGCATCCGTAGTCCAGGTAAAAACCAGTGGCATGAATTATGTATTGACTTATTGAGATACACGTGGATTAAAATGCGATGGACTGCTCAAGGAAATTGCAGATTAGTACATTTTGATGGCAATCATGTTTAATAACTATTACGGGTAACTATGAACGAACTGAACGTAATCAGAGCGACTTGAAAATTACAGTAAGTACAAGGTTTAAGTTGCTTCTATTCTGAGGTAAGAGATGATGCAGGTCCGGGCATTTAGTAGAAAATAGCAACGTACCGCAAAGTGAGTAAGTAGCCGGTTCTCGCTGGAAGCACACAAAATTCATCAGGAGTTAGCAGCAATGCATTTCACTGTATGCTGGACGCGACAACACCTATATTGACACGCAGCTGTTTGATATATATTGCCCCATTTTGTTGTTTGGAATTGACCAATTTATTTTCACTATTCCAGTGAAAGGATAGATTTTTGCTTATAAAAAGTTCTGCAACCCACACAACATAATCAGAGGGTGATTAGTAAGATAAAAATACACTTTGCTTAGCATATTATTCAACTCTTCGGCATATCCGTCGTGTTATTCTCAAATGACCTAAATTCAACTACAAAATTCCCTAACAAGGCTGGGCATGATGCCGTTTGTTTACGACATGCCGTCAGAAGATGAAGACGGACAGCAGCAAGTAATTTAAATGGCTAAAGTCAGCGGGGAGCCACCTTTAAATACGCACATCTTGAATGCAGAAATGATGTTAGCTAAAGTGTATGTGGAAAATTTACATTAAGGATTTGTTGTTGTGGTGCGTGTAAGGCACTAAAGCGATTAGCAACCGTCCAGACATACCAGCGAAAAGTGGCCCAGCTGCCGTTGCGTTGTATTGCCAAATTGAGTCCTTGGAGCAGCTAACCTGCGACCTCAGTTACTCGGCACTTAGTCGACCACACACTGTGCCAATAGCCCCGCGAGGTATTCAAGGCCATTGACAAACAGAACACTTCCAAATGATTGTGTTTTGCTGAGGCATCTGCAATCTGGCGTTTGAAGCCTTAGTTATAAAAATAGCTGGAGATTGTGTTCAACCTGGTTTTACCATTGTAGGACATAACAGCTTCACTGGTACAACGGACCACTTATATGTGGTATTGACGTTTCATCCCCGACCTTTAGAAATTTCCACCCAGTATGTTCATTGTGTGGCCAATGAAAGTATGCGATATGTACTGAGTTCAGATTAGGCCTCTGAAATGTTACTGATTTTTATGCTGTTAAAATACTTGAAGGGAAGTGTTTCTTTGGTATATCTTCCTATTTACGAAGTCTTTGTTACCCCATGCATGAGACCAACTTGCAGCCAACGGTTTGTATTTTTATAACTTATTAACACACGGAAATTAAAAGCTTCTTCCACTACCATCTTTCTAGACAAGATTTCATTAGGCGCCGGACTCTGTCTTGGAGCCACGTGTATCCGTGGCCGCAAATGTAAAGAAATCAGTGAGCTTCTCCATTGTCCACTCATGCTACACTGCATATGCACTAATCTACAAACGCTCTCCTCTCTCATCCTATCATAGCTTGCTCCTTTGCAAAAGCACAACATACCAAAGTATCAACAAGAATCCCCCAAGACCCCACCGCATGTGCTGCTCCACTATGTGACCTTCAAAACCACATGGGACTGGATGATATTTCTTCTGACTGGTTATACATCTGTTGTGGTGCCCTACACTATTGCCTTTGAACAAGATGTCATCTATGGCGAACGTGTCATCACTGTGATGGATCGAATCGTCGACATTGTTTTCTTCCTGGATATTGTGCTCAGTTTTCACACGACCTTCGTTGGTCCCACTGGGGCAGTGATCTCAGATCCGGTGTTGATTCGGCTGAATTACCTGAAAGGCTGGTTCATGATGGACTTGATTGCTGGTCTGCCATACAGTTTACTCAGTGGTCTGAGTTCAAAACAAAGCAGGGTGAGTTTATCGGGTGTAGGAAGAGGTTCCATTTTTTGTAATTTTTACACGATCTGTGACTAACAGGCACAGCAGAATATTGTAAGGGAAATATGATAGCAGTCTGATAAAAACATCAAACATGAATTCATTAGGAAACCTTGTAACAAATGGTTCAAGAAATGAACTCACTTCCAAGTTTCCTGGAAGTGAATCGTACGCTAGTTTAAAAGCGGCGAAATTAACGGAGGTAGCCGATAGGACCTCTGTGACGAGATAGTGTGTAGAAATTTGTGAGGGATTTTGGGGTTGTTCATCTTGGTTTAATGGTCAAAAAGACAATTAAACGGTTGTTGTGAGAACAGCTGCAAATTTTACCTCAAAATTTTCGGTTTTGCTGCAGAGACCTCTATCGATAGCTGCTGGGTTCGCGAGGCTGGGATCCGATCTAAAACATAAAGCGTATTATTTTCTAAATAAATGTGGCGGAATATGCGCCAAAATGGGGAAAATAGAGTAGTTACGATGGCAAATTGTTCGGTTGCGTTTAATGACTTCTGTGGATAAATAGTACATACAGAAATGTACTGGGATTTGTGTGTCAGCTTGCGTTTGCACTCAAATTCATTTTCCATAACGATGCCTGTACAACCACCCAACTTCTGGCAGTTTCTTTTCAATTTACCGACATTATCTGCATTTTTGTGTATAACTCGAAAACCCAAATGCATGATTTCAAATAACAGATGCCCGTTTAATCCACAACAAATGGTGTATACTAGTAGGTGTGTACGTATTCAATAAAGGTAAACATTTTGCCTTTACGCAGTGGCCTCTTAGGCGTTCGATCCCGTCTCGTCATTCTCTAGCGTGAAAGTGGGGTCGATGTCCACAAGAACACAGGATCTAAACTTTTGCACTCTAAGCTTCATGTTTATGAACAGTTCGATTTATTAGGCTTATAAAGTGCCCTGTAAAGTTCCAACCGTTGTGAAAACTTCCATATATGTTTATCAGACCCAGGGTATCAGCGGACAGATGCGTTAAAGGAATTGTTTGCAACGATCGATCAAACGAAGCTGCGCCCAATGCTACCAAGAAGATGGCACTTTTTGGAGTCGAATTCATGATGGAAAAATATATCAACATGAACCTAAAATTTCGATTGCTTCAGTCATTTCCGTCCTGTGATTAGTTCGCATCAAGCAATGGAAAGCTGTAAAATGGCAGCTTAGCCTCTTTCTGCTTTCACCTATGTCTAATCCACTTGAAATGTCCCAGAAACACGAAGGACTCTGGTAACGAATGAACAAATGGTGGATGCCAGGAACACCTCACCAAGAGGAGCGTAACGGAAAGCAGTCTTTCCACTTATGCTTTATTTCAAAACTGACATTCAAACTGTCATTCTGCCTAGCAAAAACACCGGAAGGTTGAGATTTGGCACCCGGGTTAATGTATGCTGATACCGTACGGGTGAATGAACGAAGGCTGTTTTGAGTAGCTGCTTCTGATATCAGCAGAGTTGCATGTCATCAAGGAGACAAACAATTTATTGAATACATGTGCGTGATGTAGCTTAACGGATTCCGGTCACAATGGTAGGCGCGCTATGTCTCGGCTGTCCTAATTCATTCAAATCCGACTATTGTTTTCAAAAGCAGGTTCATCAGTCATAGTTCCGACATGCCAGTAAGTTTCTACGCCCAAGTCGGCCACGAATACCATCAACGAACTCGGAACGTGCCTATGATACGCCGATGGCGAGTGCTTTTGGTCTACTCACCAGAGTGGTCTGCTCGGTCCACCAAATTCTTCCACGATTCGAAATCGACAGTCCGAAGTAGTTATCCGAAATCTAGTCCACATTTTCCATTTCCAGTTCAACTAATCCAGTTGTGAGTTGAGCCGTAGACTTGCCTAATGGCAGCTGAATATGAAAAGCACTTAGTATGCGACATATGTGATGATGGGTTGGAATCCGTTTATACACGGTACAGAGTCCAGTGTGTCACCTACTGTGTGTTTAGTATATGCATGCCGTATCATGCGGAGAACAGGTAGCGGTGTATTACCTCATTGTTTCTCTAGGCCTTAAGATTCTATATAAAGCAAAGGACGCCTTCGATGTGGTCCGCTCCCATAAGTTAAGTCATTGGCCAGTTGCAATCTTGTTCAGATTACCCAAGTAAATAAAAACTAGCTGAGGTGGGCACGACTTACTTGCTGATTGCATGCCAAAGACCTCATTCTTAACACGGTTCAGCTGTGCGCTTGGTCCTCTAGAGGAGTTCCACGATAAATGCGAACTGAAAGGCCGAAGCGAACTAATCACCTTCTCCACATGCCTTATTGCACGCGTTCTACGTCAGTTTACCTTACGGAATGAGACCATGGTTTCAGTCACAGTGCCGAAGTAGTTAAACCCTCCCATGATACTTTATGGATCCGTAACTTCATCACATGTAGAACATAATCTTCTCTGGGATGGGCATAATCATCGATTTTCTCCTCTGTTATCATTCTTACAGCATACCACGAACCTGCTAAATGCTCTGAAGGTGGTTCGGTTACTGCGACTATGGCGCGTTCTTCGTAAGCTGGATCAATACTTGGAATACGTGGCCACCATCTTGTTAATCATGATCTTCTGTTTTATTCTGCTTGCCCACTGGTTAGCCTGTGTTTGGTACATGGTCGGAATGAACGATATCAAACAAAATGTGTACCATGGATGGATTATTCATCTCATGAACGAGACTATGGGATGTCGAAACTGGACTGCAGTGATTCACTCAGAAGATGCCTTACCACCCCCATCCATGCTGTATATGACCTCGCTTTATTTCACGCTGTCACTTGTCACAAGCATCGGTTTCGGAAATGTTGCAGCAAACACAACTGCGGAGAAGATCGTGTCAGTCATCTTCATGATCATTGGAGGTTAGTTGCGTGTAGTATGGAATGGCGCCAGAACGACTGAGTACTTAACGTAGACTCAACATCACAACTTCCACCATGTTGGTACTACAATTCCGATAAAACGCTCATCCCAGCCAACCTCAGCTCAGATTTGCATTTGTGTAATGCTTTAAAATATGCACTACAAGGTGGAATAACCTAGGTATTTAGAAACATGTAACTTCCGTAATCCATTTACTTCAAGTATAAACCGAAAAAATCCCGGCGCAATGAACTACAGTAGATTAAGTTCTGATGAGAACATACTAAAATAACAGTTCACTTTTCTAAAAGATGCAGAGTATTTTATTCCAGATGTCAGCATTTTCTAAGTTCCAATCAGTGTGACAAAAGCTCAGAGTGGTTGCGAATAAAGGACGTGTGGCTGCATACTCTATGGTTTAGACTTTTAAGTTAACTAATCGGACAGTTAGTGGAGGCTACTAATGGAAGAACTAATGAATACTGAATACTGAATACTGTATTATAGAGCAAGTAGAAATAGATACTGTACAACTCTTTCGAGATATGGCGAAAAACGTTATAAAAGTTGTCAACCTTTAATATCATTGTCGTTCTCATGTAATATTTAAAATATTCGACTTACGATATTTCAGGATTCACAAATGTGATGTCATCATAAGTGTGCAGTCGTTCTCTGAATCGAATAGAGGCAAAATGCAAGTCTAACAACGTTTTGAACTGTTGCACAGATGTTGCCTCAATCACATGTTCGGGCAAACTATTCCAAATGTTTACCACTCTCCGTTCGAAGCACAGTGGGTGGGGAACACGTTTCATATCCGGCACAACAAGTTTGTATCTGTGTCCGCGTGTGCTGCATGACCCTCGTAAGTGCAGCATTGGCCTTAACATGGGGAACTCACCGAGATGTAGAATTCGGTAGGTCATAATGAGGTCGACTCGCACCCGACGGTAGGACAAGGTGTAGAGTCCTAGTTTCTCGCACCGGTCTTCATACCCAAAGCCACGTAAACTCGGGATCAGCCTGGTAGCAACGTGTTGGATCCGTTCGATCTTTTGTGCCTCGCCTCGGGTAATCGGAAAGTAGGCGGGCGAACCGTACTCTAGCATTGGTCTAATGATAGAAGAGAACAGGCGAGTGGCAACCTCTTCAGACCATGTGAAGAAGCTACGTTTGAGCGCCCAAAGCATGCGCAGTCCATTGCGATATAGCCTGTTCGTGTTGTCCACGGACTTCAAATCGTAGCGTGAGAGTACACCTAGGTCCTTCACGGAGGGTGTGGGATATAGCGTTTGGCCGTCAAGGGTGTAGGTTCGGCCGTCTGCACCCTTCCCCAGGCTCATAAATACCGACTTGACTGGGTTGACCGGAAGAAGAACTTCTGCAGATCATGTGGATAAGCGGTTGAGATCTTGCTGAAGTAGGCCACAGTCATCGGGAGCGTCGATTTCTCTCCAAATCTTCATGTCGTCCACAAACAAGGCACACGGCGACCGGAGAAGCTGCGGTAGACCGTTGATGTGGATCAGGAACAGAGTGGGCCCCAGAACAGTGCCTTGAGGCACGTCACTTGTAGAGGGGTACCAGTCAGTTAGATGGTCGTCGACCTGTACCCTCCACTTTCGTCCAACAAGAAAGTCGCGGATCCACCGGTGCAGTGAGCCACCGACGCCACACATGCTGAGTTTGTGAAGGCGAACCTCATGACTGACCTTGTCGAACGCTTTACTGAAATCGATGAATATCACGTCGACGGACTTCCCCTTGTTTATTGCCTTCAACCACTCATGCCTCGTCACAAGCAGGTTAGTAATGCATGAGCGACCTTGCATAAAACCGTGCTGTGCGGGCGTCAGGACCTCGTTTGACTGCAGCAACTGCAGCAGTCTCTTCCTCACGATTTTCTCAGCAACCTTTGCCAATAAAGGTGTCAGACAAATTGGCCTGTAATTGTCTACTTTGCTAGGGTCGCCGCCTTTCGGAATAGGCTTCACCACCGCACATTTCCAGTCAACCGGCAACAAACCTTCGGAGAGCGACCTGTTGAAAAGGTCAGTCACGACAGGAGAGAGGATGGTTGAAAGTGACTTGAGAACCAGTGGGTGAAGCCCATCAGGTCCGGCAGGTTTGGTGCCGTCAAAGTTGGCGAGTAGTTGAGCTACCTCTTCGAAGCCACAATGCAGACTATCGAGTTCGGTAAAAGCGGTACACGTCGAACTCGGAACAGACACCTGGTTATTCGCAAATACAGAAGCGAAGTGCGCTTCCAACGCGGACGCACGCTCAGAGCTGGAGGTTAGGGGCTGTCCATCCGTGCCATCCAGCACTGGCACATCACCCGCCGGCTTCAGGCGTCGCTTCACGTATGCAAAGATTCTCTTTGGGGCGGTCTTCGCGGCTAATGCGTGCTGCTCTTCAAAGTGTCGGCGTTTATTCTTTTTTGCACTGTTGCAGAGATTCCGCTGACATTTATACCCTTCGTAATCATTGGCAGAGCCAGAGAGAAGGAATTTGTCCCACAGTCTGCGCCGCCTCCGAGCCAGGTTTCTATACTCCTTGTCAAACCAATGAGACTTAATCGGTCCAACCTTTCGACATTTCAGTGGCACAAATTTGGAACACAATGATGTTAATCTCTCTTTTATAAATATCCAACAATCTTCCACAGATGCAGTTTGTGACAGAGACCAATCCAGTTGGCTCGCGGCTCGAGCAAGACCATCGAAGTCCGTTTTCCACTAGTTGGGAGCTGGTTGCAGCGGATGTGAATACGGCAAAGATAATTCCATACCAGCTATCAGTACTGAGTGGTCGCTCGTAGCCAGGGGCTCCAGGATCCTAACGTCACGCACTCGTTGTTCGTAGCTCGTTAACATTAGGTCGAGACAGGACGAGGTTGAACGTGTTGATATGCGTGTTGGCTGGCATATGTGTTGCGATGCACCAGTTTCAAGTATCAAATCCACCAACTTTGCTTCAACCTCACTATGTCCAGGCATCAAATGCACATCAGGCCATCGTATTCGAGGACAGTTAAAATCGCTCGTAAGCAGAAAGTGTGGACGACTCATGTGGGTCCAAAAATGGAGCAGCCAATCCAAACAACGACTCAGGGGACTGCGATAAACTGCGCCCACAAGCAGTTCTCCGCGCCTGAGGCGGATGGAGCACCACAGTAGCTCACACAGGCCATCGTCACTTCGGTAGGTGCTCACAAGTCTCCCACGCAGAGAAGACCGGATGTAAAGTAAGACACCACCGTGGGCATTCTTTAGTCTATCGCATCGGAAACACGAGTAACCGTTGAGTTCAAGTTCTTGGGTGTATAACTCTGCATGCAGCCATGTCTCTGCGAGTCCCACTACGTCTGGCCGCTCAGACGCAACGAAACAACAAAGCTCATCGCGCTTATTCATAATACTACAAACGTTTGTGAAGGCTACTCGCAGGCCGCAGCAGGAGCCACCGGGCGTGCTTGAAGTGTGAGCAGCCTGTTTATCCTGATTCGCGGATTGTTGGAAACCACCCGAAAATTTACGATACGAAGATTTGTTTCCCCCTCACTAGTGCGTCTTTTCAACTCAATGATGGCAGACTTGAGCCGCTCCCTGTCTACTGGGTCCAGGTCGGGACGAACATGGATCTTCAAACCTTTCAGCCTACTTAGGCGAGACATGATAAGTCTTGGACTGGCTTCGTCCACAAAAGTGATTCTCATAGGCCGATTTTGTTGATCACCTTGCTTTCCAAGACGGGTAATCTGCCTCACTTTTACCGAGTCCTCACCAGCGTCGAGGAGTCTATCAATTAGACCCTGTAAAAACTCGACATCGTGATCGTAGCGCACTTGGGGTGATGGATCACTGGACTCCGGTGCGTGAAAGATCACGAGATTATAACGCCTCTGGTCGGACGAGGTTGGCCTTGCAGGAAAGATGTAATATCTTCGAAATCCGTTTGAATTAAAACCAGACATTTCCGAGTATCAATCTACCAATTTTAGAGCGTTATTCTCCCGAGAAGGAAGTACCTAGAGAAGCAGACCACTTCCAAGACCTGATGGTTTATCACCTAAGGGTTTGGGTCGAGAGTTATAAAGTTTTGCTGCTCAGTAACCTAGCACCTTGCTAATCACTTAAGGAAGTACGTGAGACAGAGACCACTTCATCTCTCCAAAGCAGGAAATTGCGTATGCCCCTGAAAAAGGACTCAAAGGCAGCTAAGAAAAAACTATACATCAGGAAATGAACAAACCGAAAGTGGTTTGTAATCTGGTGTAAATTTGACGATTGCGATAGGGGAAAAGGCACATTGGAGAAAAATCTTGGATTAAAAAATAATGTGCAGAGTTCTTTGCGATGCTATGCCTATAAATCTGATATTCAATATATTGGTAAACTACATACATTGATTTATATTCCCCTTACTAATTGTGCGTTTACTGAAAGAACCTTCCGTAAAACTGGATGTTGGCACACGATCTCAGTAAGGACGGTGTTTAAGGTTGAAGTGAATCTCAATCAGATTTGGGTCTTGGAATACTAGCGTTGGGCATGGATTGTGACATGTAATGTCGATTGAGGCCATTTGGCTTTCAAACATCGCTGCTATTCCGAGTATTGGGACCGCATCCTAAGTGAAGAGTTGTGGAGCTGCTTTCTTCCAACACTGCTCTCCACAGTCGACTGGCTTCGGTTTGCTTTGGACACTTCATGTAGTGATAGCCTGAGCATTGAGTGGAACCGGCCACATAGTGGCTGACGGCTTACGCTTTGGTCACTAAGCCATCGAGCTCGGCGAGCAGCGTTTGAAGCAGCCGATTAAACTTCATTTCAGTAGCTTAAAGCTCGGTTGAAACAGATGTTCGTACGTAAGCACTGTACACGGCTGCCTTGCTCGTACTGGTTTGCAGTCCTCTGTTAGAGTTGGAATATACGCTATTCCGAGCCGGCAAAAACTGCTCACTGGCAGAAGCCTACAACCCATTCGCATACCA